TCGAAATGCGAATTTTGGCCTCTGAATTTTGGGGGTTCAACTTTGAAGGGAGAATTTTGGGGTTGAATTTCGGGGATGAATTTCGAGGGTTGAATTTTTGGGGGGCCCAATTTTAAAAAGTTTATTTTTTGGGGTGAATTTTGGAGTTGGATTTTGGGGTGCTCAACTTTGAAGGGCGAATTTTGTGGGGTGAAATTTGGAGCTGAATTTCGGGGCTCAAATTTGGGGGGCTCAATTTTGAAGGGCGAATTTTTTGGGGTGAATTTTGGGGTTGAATTTTGTGGTTGAATTTTGAGGCTCAAATTTGGGGGGATTCAGCTTTGATGGGTGAATTTTGTGGGGTGAATTTTTTGGGCTCAAATTTTGGGGGGCTCAACTTTGAAGGGAGGGTGAATTTCGAGGGTTGAATTTTGGGGGACCCAATTTTGTGGGGTTGAATTTTGGGACTTAATTTGGGGGCTCAAATTTGGGGGCTCGACTTTTAAAGGTGAATTTTGTGGGGTGAATTTCGTGGCCGGAATTTTTGGGGTGAAATCCCTAGAGCTGAACTTTGAAGGGTAAATTTTTTTTGGGGTGAATCCTCACGGCCGGAATTTTTTGAATTTTGAAAGTTGAATTTTGAATTCTGAAAGGTGAATTTTGAAAGGTAAATTTTGAATTTTGAAAGGTGAATTTTGAATTTTGAAAGGTGAATTTTGAAAGGTGAATTTTGAATTTTGAAAGGTGAATTTTGAATTTCGAAAGGTGAATTTTGAAAGGTGAATTTCAAAGATGGATTTTTGAGAGGTGAATCCCGGAGGATGAAATTTGAAGGGTCAATCCTGAAGGTTCCGTCCCGACGAGTCAAATTTTAGGGGTGAATTTTGAGAGGTGAATCTTGAAGGGCGAATCCCGACAGGTGAATTTTGAGAGGTGAATCCCGACAGGTGAAATTTCAAAGGTGGATTTTTGAGAGGTGAATCCCGACAGGTGAATTTTGAAGGGCAAATCCCGACAGGTGAATTTTGGGAGGTGAATCCTGCAGGGCAAATCCTGAAGGGTGAATCCCGACAGGTGAATCTCGACAGGTGAATTTTGGGAGGTGAATCCTGAAGGGTGAATCCCGACAGGTGAAATTTGAGAGGTGAATCCTGACAGGTGAAATTTGAAGGGTGAATCCCGACAGGTGAATTTTGGGAGGTGAAATCTGAAGGATGAATTTTGAAGGGCGAATCCTGACAGGTGAAATTGGAAATGTGAATCCTGACAGGTGAAATTTGGGAGGCGAATCCTGAAGGGCGAATTCCGACAGGTGAATTTTCAAGGGCGAATTTTGGGAGGTGAATCCTGAAGGACGAATCCTGACAGGTGAAATTTGAAAGGTGAATCCTGACGGGTGAATTTTGAAGGGCGAATCCCGACAGGTGAATTTTGAAGGGCGAATCCCAACAGGTGAATCCCGACAGGTGAATTTTGGGAGGTGAATCCTGACAGGTGAATTTTGAAGGGCGAATCCTGACAGGCGAATCCTGCAGGGCGAATCCCGAAGGGTGAAATTGGAAATGTGAATCCTGACAGGTGAATTTTGGGAGGTGAATCCTGAAGGGCGAATCATGACAGGTGAATCCCAACAGGTGAATCCCGACAGGTGAAATTTGAGAGGTGAAATCTGAAGGATGAATTTTGAAGGACGAATCCTGACAGGTGAAATTTGGGAGGCGAATCCTGAAGGGCGAATCCCGACAGGTGAATTTTGAAGGGCGAATCCTGACAGGCGAATCCCGACAGGCGAATTTTGGGAGGTGAATCCTGAAGAGCGAATCCTGACAGGTGAAATTTGAAAGGTGAATCCTGACAGGTGAATTTTGAAAGGTGAATCCCGAAGGGTGAATTTTCAAGGATAAATCCTGAAGGGCGAATCCCGACAGGTGAAATTTGAGAGGTGAAATCTGAAGGATGAATTTTGAAGGGCGAATCCTGAAGGGCGAATCCCGACAGGTGAATTTTGAAGGGCGAATCCCAACAGGTGAAATTGGAAATGTGAATCCTGACAGGTGAATTTTGGGAGGTGAATCCTGAAGGGCGAATCCTGAAGGGCGAATCATGACAGGTGAATCCCAACAGGTGAATCCCGACAGGTGAATTTTGAAGGGTGAATCCCGACAGGTGAAATTTGAGAGGTGAATCCCGAAGGGTGAATTTTCAAGGATGAATCCTAAGGGTGAATCC